TTTTCAAACTAAAACAAGAATTTTTTTTCTTGGACTCGGCGACCTAAATATTTCACAGCAGTTCATCCTGATAAACCACTTGTACGAAACTTAAGAAAGAAAACAAGAGACAGCTATTTTCAAAAAAAAAAACTGAAAACAGTTTAGTTTTGTCAAAGTGAATTCCCTGTTATGGAAAAGATAAAAGCTAAGATATAGAATAGAATCCAGAAAACCATTATATAGAATTGGGTATACGCTATTATTTCAAACTATTTTAATAGTACAAGAAATATTTCTGTGTGCATGACTTTTAGAGTTTCTTTATTCATTCAAAGGACTAATGGAAGTAAAAAAGGGAAAGCCGCTTTGAAAATTTTAACCTTTGAATTTGCCGATGGCAAAATTTAGGAAAGGAAAGTTCGCGTATTTTTACCTTTACAAAACCATGAAATGTTTAAGCCGATTGCCTCTGGGAAAACACCATCCATACACAAGTGTTTGGATATGATAATTGACAGTTTAAATTACCGATCTTCTACCCAAATGGCGGAAAACGTTTTGATTAAGCTGCAACTTTTCCTTTGACACTTGAGATGCTTTGAATCTGAGACTATTCTCAACGAAGAAAAAAAAAGGATCATGCGAAATTGTAATCCCACGAAGAGAGCATACGAAATGAAACATGTGAACATTAACTAGCACGAAATACACCGACAAAATATGTTTTAATTTCTGCCATTTAAAACAGGATGATGGCCAAACCGTGAAATAAAATAACAGGATACAAATTAACCGTAGTGTTATTATCCTGCATTGGATAGCCAAAAGCGATAAACAAACACCAGTCACAGCTTACTAAGTGGAAGGCGGAGGGCGAACATCATCAAAACCATATCCCAAAGGTAATAAATATTTTAAGTATTTGTTTCCTCTTTTTTTCTTCCTTTTTCCCTGAAGTTAATTTTTCTGAATTTCTAACAGCTCTTCAGAGTCGGTCAGCTGACTTGGATTTCACAGGAATAATTTAACAAGAAACGCTTTTTTAACTTGCGGGCGGTTTTGCTTGAAGTTTTAATCACTTCAACGTATTGGCAGTGAAATTCCGCTCAGGTTCGAGTGGTGCAAGATAACACTTACAAGCCACTGCTCAGGTAGAAAATAATTATTTACCCTCCAAATTTTCAAGAGGAAAATAATTTTATAGCCAAAAAGGCAAATTAATAGACTGGAAAATTCAAAAGTGCATGCTTGTACTGAGTAACCCAGGCAATTTTCATTCCCCGCGTTTTTCCCTACATAACGTTGATGTTATGAACTCAATGTTTTCAATTGACGCATAGCGGGGGAGCATTTTTAACATTTTCATTTCCCTTATTATATCATTTGTTTCTTTTCAAGACCTTAGAAATGTTTGCCGAGTAAAACTCTTGTTTATTTATGAAATTAAGGACGAAAGATACTTTATGTAACGTTGTTTCAAAACCACAAATAATTTTCTTCGCGCACCGCAAATTTGTGATGATCACTACAGCCCTTCCTTGCCTTTCGTTCGTCGATTAGCGATCATTTTGTTTCACCATTAAAACAGCGATGACGGAGCGAATTTGCGATATCATATCGAACTACATTTTTAAAGTGCAGGTCAGAGGAGATGGACATTAAGATTACTTTCTCGTGCGAATCATTTTTTTTTTCTCAGCATCCATTTTTATCATTTTAATTCACTGCCAAATTGACTAGTTTTATTTTGCTTAAACTCTGCTTCCAACATTCAACGAAAAAATATAATATTTTCACATTAATGGAGTTGTCGATCTGATAGCGCATTCTTTTAAGTTTTAAAGAGAAAAGAGAGCCATTTATTGGAGATACGATCAAAATTTTGAAGAACTTTTTTTCTCAGTGACCCGCAAACGCTCGTTATACTTCCATCTAACTAGAGCAGGTGTCATTATGTATTTCCAAAAAATGGTACATTTCCTCCATTTCCTAGACTTAAAAAAGACTTTAAAAGATTCAGGGAAAATTTCAAACGTCCACTACTGCGAGCATTTTTGAAGCACTTAAACTTACTTGAAGTAATGAATTTTCCGCTTTCGTCTGTCACACTTGGTTTGTTAAAGCAATATTTTCTCTTCCTTTTCCGTAAGACGTTCGCTCAATTACCAGTTGTGCGTTCACAGAAACTTATCCCACTGCTGTCTTCGCGAATAACTTGAAGTCATTCAAACCAACCTACCAATTTATTGAGCACGAAAACCGCGATATCTATATAGCCAGTGTTTTCTCTGTTCCTTATTAGCATGTCTTTTGTAAAGACGGCAAATTTTACTTGCTAGAAATGCAAATTGGCAAAACTATGGTCGTATTAGCGAACAAATCGCTGTATTCGCCTATTCTATGCGGGGTAAACATTTATTTTCATCCCATTTTTCTCTATAGCCATTTCAACGGCTCTCCATTGTGCGTTGTTTTGAAGACCAAAAAGAAAGGTTTATTTTAGACAGGGCTGAATCCACTGCTATAGAATAACAAGCCATGCACGCAGTCATGACAATTTCTTGACTCCTTCTGAGCGAAGTAAGTGATAATTTTAAAAGACTGCTCGGTAATTCTTCATTGATGCCCGCTCATAAAGGTGCTAGAACAAATTCACTTCTAAATGTCAACAACTATCACCCTATTCTCATGCCGTTATTGAGAAGCGAAAAGAATTGTTTTCTTCTGGTATTTTAGAGCTCGGTAAAGTTAATGGGAGTGCTTTGGTAGTCTCCAACGGTGATAACCCAATTCATACATCAAAATATTTTCCCGCGAAGAACAAAAAATTCAACTGAAAGGAGCGTGGTTTCTTGAAAAAAAATAGACTTATTTTCAATCTTTTTTTTTCCGCCCGCCCTGATAGTTATCTTGAGTACAATCTTAGACTAAAAATTCCACATAAGATCTAAATTGCTTTCTCGAGCCGTAGACAGGTGTCTAACAATTTTAACTAGCATTTAAACTTGCCTCTAGCTATATTACAACAGAATGTTTATTTTTCTCAAGAGATCGTCTTTCTCCCATCTTTGTCTCGCTAGTTGGATTAATTCAGCGGTCAAAGTTTATTTACACAACCAGGAAAAGATATCACATCGCTTAACGCCAGCCTCACAGTAATAAATACCATCATTTTTCATTTATCCTAATTTTTGCGAGGAACGTTAATTTAGTGAAGAGTTTGTTATCTTAGCCCCGAGCAGAAGGGGCCATAATTAAAAGTCGCACGTCGAGAAATGTTAACTTCGCAACATTAGGTTGTTTTAGAAAAAAGCGATCTCTGTTATTTGCTATCCAATTATCCAAGGCATTTCACGGGTGGGCAGCGCTCCTTCCTGCTCGCTGCTCCCTAAGACAATCACAATCACCGATATATCCACAAGAAACAAAAGATAAAAAAGAGAACAAAGAGCGCTGTTTTGGTAAGCTTTATCTCTTTTGTGCAGCATTCATTTTCTACCTTTCGTTCTCTCGTGGTAAACTTCACAGTGGGACACAAGTAAATTTTCAACTTTGTCTAATTGGAAATAGTTTGCAGCGAAAATCCCTTTTCCTCCATTTTTGTGCCGTCAACAATTGAAGCTGTCCTTCGTGCTAAATAACGTAATTAAAGCCAGTTTTTGTCCCTCGATTAGCAGTGTAAACAGAGAGGAAATCAATTGGAATACAAATACAAATGCAAGTGTAGAGAATTTTTCTATAATTCCATAAACATAATTCCACGTCGCAAGCCATGCAGCTCCAATATTCTGTTCGACTCAACTCCCACGGGTTCGCCCCAGAATTTTAAAAATATGATTGAAAACTGCTTCAGATCGCACGGAAAGCACCCGACAAAGAATAAAAAAACGACTTCTTCGCAGGAGTCTCCTGGATTTTTACGAAATTTTTAAGACAAAAAAAAAAGCACGTAAAAATTGAATCGCTTTGCTATATTGAATTCGGCGCACACACGCTAAAGAAAAGTACATGTTTAAACTTTCGGCTAGGACAATAGTACTTACAATGATCACAATAAAATTTGCCAATTCTCAATTCGGAAATATTTATCTAGCGGTGCAAATCGCCTGTAACCCTAGTTCTTAATGACTCTGCAAATACGACGGTCTATCAGCAGATTGGATCTAATTTGTCAATGTTCTCTCGTAGGTAATGCAATCATCAAGTATCGAAAGCGTTCGCACTTCAAGGCGCACTCATGCACGGAAAATCAGCGTTGAGGATTTTTAAAACTGTGTTTTGCCCTCTTAGTTTTTTACATCTAGAGTACAATAAACGAAGACCTCTAGGCCACTGTTTGAAAAGCTTTTTCTCTTTTCATTTATTGTGCCGTTCAATGAAAACCAATTGACCTCGAATATGCGAAGTTCGCTATGATTATTCGCGAAAGGATCACACAATACTGTTTTCATTATGTAAATCGCTCCAAGCAGTCCATTAAATACAGAAAAGCTGAAAAGTTTGTAAATCTCTTTAAAAAAGCGACAATGACGCACAGAAAGGCAAGGTAAGCCCTTAATGAAACACGTGCAAAGCTAACAATAGCGAATGCCGCAGATGTGGTGAAGGCATTGAACGGAAAACATTATTATATTGAAATAGTTTGAAAAGCGCACCTGCCTGAGCCGTGCAGGTGTCGCGCCACTGTGATTAGAACAATGTTTGAATGAGAGAGCAAACAGAACCGAAAACTTCCAATAACTCAGTGATCATTGCGTTATAATCCGCCGCTAAGTGTTCCCACTTGTGCGATCCTCGTGTAATTCTCAAAATATCGATCTCTGGGCTACAAGCGAAAGTTTCACCGCTCTGGCGCACGTGCTTCAGAGTTATGGCACAAGAATTGCCGCCGAACTTTCCCGCGCATTGATTGGCCGACAACGGAAATATACATAATTCATGCACAAATAATTAACACCTATTGTTTACTTCTTGTATTATTATTGAAATGAAATATTAGCATTGTCCTATTATATCATTATACCCATCAGCCATAATCACGCCTGTGAGGTGTTGTAGCTGTTGAGCCGGTCGACCAGGCAAATAACAGATTGAGGTTGCTCCTTTGAGAACAGTTTGACCGTACTCATCCTCGCGTGAACATCACCTAACTCCGTCCGTCACCGACTGCCAAGACAACAGGGATCAATCCTATTAACAACTTCAACGACATGGGCAAGCAAGAAGAAGGCCACATTAAAAGACCCATGAACGCGTTTATGGTGTGGAGTCGTGGTAAGAGAAAGCAGTATGCTGCGATAAATCCTCGAATGCACAACTCTGAAATCAGCAAGCGACTCGGAGCCGAGTGGAAAATGCTTTCACAAGAGGAAAAAGAACCGTTCGTGGCGGAAGCGAAGCGACTGCAGGCCATCCACATCCAAGAGCACCCCGATTATAAGTACAAGCCGAAGCGACGCAAACCGAAATCACTGCAGAAGAAAGAGCTTGCGGCCCCGATGTTTTCGCCATACAGCGCCCCAATGATGGCGGTCGATAAATTCTCAACGAATCAATTGCCTCAAACAATAGCTCATTCAACGGCTTTGTCCGCGGACCCAATGTATTCCAAAATAAATGGAGCAGCAGCGTTTCATCACTCGGTTTCACCAGGATATCCAGTGATTTATCCAAACGTAACCGCAGTGAACACTCACCATTCGGTGACTCCACCATCGCGTCAGCTATTCGCTAGTTCCTTGGACACGACACATTCATTCCGCGCCGCCGATGTCATGAGCCACAACAGAGCGTTGTACACCAGTCAAGCCTTCCAAACTGCGCTACCTTCCCAAATGCAGCAGAGAATTTCTAGCGTGGACGAAACACGAGGCGCCTCTATCAGTAGTGGAGCGTCTTCCAGTCCGACTGCTTCAAGCAGTGACGCACCGAGCAAGTCGAGTGGTTATACAGTTTCCACTGCTGAACTGAACGGACAACGCGTTTGGCAGCCTCAACAGGATCTGTCCCGACCAGTGGCCTATGTCCCGGTATTGCTTTAAATTTCTTATGTATTTGCCACACCTTTTAATTTAAGGACTAACCCATAAACTGATAGTATATCATTAAAGATTCGATCATACCAGAAACTTACCGCATGAAACTCATTGTCAACATACGTTACCAAGTTAAATCATTCAGTTTCTATAATAATGAACGAAGATCACTTTATCTCGAATGTTTTCGCTAGTTTTTTTTCTTTTGCTTAAGTATAAAGTTTATTAGCGCCGACGAGTACATTAGAAGCATGTGATAATGCGTCTTACAGACGCCTTTTCAGTCCATGTCAGTTGAATTCTGTATTATTTCTAGCAGCAAATTTCCGTTTAGCACAAAGAACGCGGGCTTGTGATAAATACGGATTAATGAGGAACAATTTTGAGTTTACAATGAATAATGACGAAGTCTTGTCAAACGGTACAATAACTCGGTTAATATAGTGTAACAACATATCCCTCGGTATCACAGACATTCAATTTGCTGTAACGGTTTGATGTCTTCTTGATCTGAAACTATTCTAGAGCGATCAAACGAAATCGAAAATGAAGTTCTAATTTTTTTCGTTTTAATATATGCGCATTATCTGGTGCATACGTATGTTGTGAACAAACAAGGGCACAATGCTTCAACTGTTTTATCTCGAAGGAAGTTTAAGAGTTTGGCTCTGATTATAAACTCAATCGGCCGGGCATGTATTTGACACTACGGCATCTTGTTATATAGCGGAACAATACTCTAATCTCGGGATTCAAACCAACATTCTGTTTAGGTCATTGTTATGCAAAGATTGTAATTCACTTAATGCGATAAAACAAGTGGCCACGTCAAAGACGAGAACAAAACAATTTCTAAATATCTAGGTACAACTTTCTTTTTAGTACGATCAATGAAGAGATACCAATGTTTACATAATGTTCATCGCCTCTGTCGCCAGCGTGCAATCCCGCGCTCAAGGTACGAAAGGAGCGAAAGATTACTTGAAATATTTATTTTTTTCACGTTTTTGCATATTTATGGCGCGGTGCGATCAAAAGCTTTCATGTCGCTCGCTGAGGTAGTTTCCATTAAGTTAATTTCGCCCTTAATGGCAAGCTAGAGAGTTTAAGGAAGTTTTTCTACTCTATTACATGAAACAGTCAAAGTAACACGACACTTTCGCATTCAAGTTATCGTCATTTTGTTTTTGACAAATTGTAAATTATGAGATCCAAACCCACATGCCGAACGCATGGTAGACTACGGAAATTTAATTCATGCCTCGGTGGTCGATTTAGTCACATGCCAATTTCGATAAGCAAACTGAGAAGCGAAAGTTCTAGGCTGTCCAATTTGTTCAAACAAACACACGACCGAAAAATGTGAAGGCTGGGATAGGCAACCAACGAAGGCCACACGGCGTGAAAGCATCATCGCTTATTTTACCAAGAGTCTAGTAAATTAGAAATGATTTATTGGATTGCCTAGTCTTTTCCAAATACTCTTTATAAATTAATGAGCTCTTTGAGGTATTGTTGACCGTAGTTCGCCGGAATAGAGACCTCAACTTTGTATATATAATGACCGCGAATATTTACGACTTTAAAATGAATTAGAGTTGTGGAAAAAAAAGTTCACCGGTCGAAAAAGTTATCATAATTCAAACATCAACATTGATAGGAAAAAAAAAAAAAAGACTTCGACAAACCAATTCACTTTCTTTCAAAAATATGTTAAAACTTCGTTTGTAATAGAACATCATCATTGTGGTTATTTTTATGTCTACGCTACGCGGTACTTAAAAATACTGTAAAATATGTTGCAAAGTTCATTTATAACGAACAAGTTTAAAGTTTCTTTTCTATTCATTTCAGATAACTATGAAGAGTAAAGTCCGTTTTCCAGCCCATTTCAATTTTGCCTAGTTGTATACATTTCGATATTTGAGAATTAATGTATATCTCAGTGTTATTTTTGCCATACGCTTTAAGTTTTCTGCATAGTGATTGCCTGAAAATTAGTCAGACTTCACTTAAGAATAAACATTTTTTTATACAGTAGCGAGCAGCGCCACAAATTGTGGCGTTCAAAACAATCCCTTGAGGAAAATATTTTTCTTTTTGTTACATGGATCGAAATGTATAATACTAAAGTGACTTGCGACACCCTATGTATTAGTAGGTACGAATTTTGTTGAACAAGTATTACAAATTTCAAGTTTGTAAATGAAAATTTTTGTAAAAGTCTTCATTTTTTCTGTTGAATACGTAGCAAATTATTACATATCAGAAATGCGCTGATATTTGAAAAGAAGTATGTAAAATTCTTATCTGTGTAATATAAGAGTAAATAAAAGAGTGAACGTGAAGAATCTTCGCCTTGTATTTGTCATCATGTAAGCACTTGACGCAAAAATCGAAACTGGTGCATACAAAGCTTGAAATTCGATTTTAAATTCACCTTAGCCATAACCGTCTACTCTACATTTGAGTTATCGTAAATGCTTGAATTTTAAATTGTTCGTAAGTTGCACATGAGGTTTAGATAATTAACGAAATTTTGGTTTATACAGTTGTGCAAACTTCGTACCGTCTAAAGCAAATTTTGCCGCGTTCAAGCTTTCTAGATTGAATACAGCACTGAAGTAACAAATGGAACCTTTTTTTAGAAAACAAAAGTGAAATTCAAGTTTTTAAGTATGACTCATTCTGACAATTTTCCCCCTTTCTGCCTTGTTTAGGCTTTTCAGTTTGAATGCAGCACTGACGAGTCAAATGGAAAGTTATTTAATGTTGCTCAAAATAAGTTAATTCCCATTTACTATGCATAACTCTCACTGAAAATTTTTGGAATTGAAATGAATGTCCCCTTTGCTGCCATATCGTTTTAGTGTAAGTGGTAAATGGCAAAAGTTTAACCAGAATCGAGAAAACCGACAAAAAAATGTTTTGTTTATCGAAATGCCCTTAACGCCCAGAGATCATAACAATAAAAGTATTGTTCGCGCTCTAGTGAGAAGAAAGTGTGAAACATTCAACTTTTGTACACTCAACCGACAATATAACTTTTCCCCCTTTTTCACTCACGGTACAAACCTCTAGTCTGAGAGACAAATTAGGCAACAAGCTCATTACTCTGTGATTCGAAGCACTTCTCAAATTAGCGCGCTCAAATACACATTTGTCCTATTAGGAGTTCAATTCCGTCGGCCTAATCTGTAAATTTAATTCTCCTGGCCAGAGAAAGGTAATTTTCCCTGTATCGTCTAGCCCTTTGCGGAAGATATTCCACCGTTGGAGAAACCATTCATGTTTTCAGCGTGGGTGTTAGATAAGATTTTCACCGCACATTTATTTTGACTCATCATACCGTTTATTTCTGACTTACTTAATCACCGGTGTAGTTTATTTGTGCCAAAAAAGGCATAATTTTTAACCACTTTTTGTGAAAGAGGAAGTAATGCAAGACCAAGACTCTCTACACCCGAGAAAGAAATTGTTATTATCTTGCATGTGCCGTCAGCGCCGAGCGCAAAGTTAAAATACTTCCTATGGCACAAACGCACAAGAAACGTGAACTTTGCGGGTCGTAGAGAGCTTACAACAAAAGATAGCTTGACAATACCGGTTACCGCAAAGAAAGGCGTAAACAATAGCTTACAACATGTGAAAACAGTGTATTGTAGTGGGACCATGTTGGGTATCATTGTCATTTTTATTAGCCATGTGGGAGCACACGGTGTGTTTTCAAAGAGTTTTCATTGATGCTGGGAGTTTCGCCTGATAATGACATCCCCTCAAGTTGCGCGATTGTATTCAACCTACTTCATAACTGAGTTCATTCCTTTATTCAACAGAGTTTTCGCGTGTTCTCTTTCAAAGCCACACTATTGATTGTCAGATCACGAAAAAAACTGGGGAATTTGACAACAAAAGCACTCCTTTCTTTTGCACCAAAAAAAAATATATTTTTAAAAAAGTAACCAGTTTCACAATACCTTCAAAGACATACCAAAGAGCGACAAATCTCATTACACTTTTTTTGTTTACCTCGATCTTTCATTAAAGGAAATGGGAAACTACTTATATTCGTTTTCCTACGGTTAACAAGGGAAGCAAAAGGTGGATGAACAGAACTTTCTGATATATTCTCCACACATTAAAATCGTTTTATCTCAGTTGAATCTGATGTGAACTGCGTTGCTTGTGATCTTATCAATTCATATACTTCCTTTTAATTAACAAGATGTGGGACTGTTTAATTAGGTGTTAGTACGAGCGTTGGAGGAACAGCAATATTTAGCAGCTTGTTATTGGTTTTGTTAACAACACATTATTAGCACAAAGTATTGCTCCATTGATTTTCGCTTCAAGATTTCCACCGGTAACAATCGCGCCAACGATTCGCTTATCATTTCACCATCCAGTAGCGATAAAATCTTAGCAATTCTTGACGACTTGATAAAATTAAAAATAAGTCAGTTTCATGAAAATTTTTGGTGGTGAATGACAGAGAACGATTTCTTTTGACGGAAGGAAGAGGGCGCGGAGTTTGGTAAACATCGTTTTTGGGCAATCGCACGCGAAGCAATTCTTCGTGCCTTTTGTTAAGTTTTGTCTCACTTTACAAGTGAACAAAGAGTTCTAGATAATTACTTTTGAGAACAACTGCCAGTACAGTTACCAAGTACGAGTTCTTTTGACTCGCAAAGCGGCTGACAATAACATGTTGTTTGATCTTGGAGGAAAACAAAACGCTTTGAATGGGTTTACTTGGAGATACATTACACCTCGCTCGCTTTGACAGTTTTAATAAACGCGAACAATGGAACGCCTTTGGACTAACTTAAGCAAACACACATTGCTCAAAAGGTTATTAAAGCTCGTTTTGCTGTGTCTCAACTCAAATAAAAAGTAGACACTGTTTTCCGTCACGTTGACAAACAAGTCATAGAACACGCACGGAAAGTCATGCACTGCAGGTGGTAAAATATGTCTGCTCAGTTAATCTAGCGGTGAACTGATTTGTTTACATATGGAGACCCTGCACTAAAACAGCTCCTGACAAACGAGTACTTTATTAAAAAAAACTCCACCTTTCATACACAATTTCTTTGGTAAAAACCGGCTTCATATACTGTACGAGAAATAGAATGATTTTACATGCTCCTAAGATCGTTTAAATGACTGCGATGTCGCCATTTGTTCCTTAAAACCCGACACAACAACACAATCCATGTTTATTATCTATTAGTTCCCCGTCAAATGACTTTGCTCCCCTTTGACCCACCATCACACATCGAAGTAATGCATCGCGTCTAACACATCTAAAATATCAAACGCCCGCACACGAGTGCACTAAGGCGGTGGAAAGGTGGTTACATATATATACGAAGCCGAAAAAGAATCTTAAATGTATTCAAAATTCAATTCTTACAATAAGAGTCCCGTACATGATCGTAGCAGTTCGAGCGTACATGATCGTAGCAGTTCGAGATTACAGTCTTAAATAAGAAATATTTTTCGTTCAATCTGACACCATCCAGATGACTTTTGGAGCTCCAGTTCAATATGATACTACTTAAATTTTATTACATTCAGTGCGAACATTTTTGAAGAATAGAAACTTCGAAATCTCTCCAAAATTATGTTAAAAGCAGTTAAAGAGTGCTAAAAATATAAACGTTGTACTGTATGTTTTGGAATAAATAACATTTTGAGTTCCATTGAATGATTCCACGTAAAGTAGCTGGTCAGCGAAATTCTAGGTTAAATATACAGTGTCCTGTACTTTGTGCTGTTACCCTCTGTCTCCTACTATAATCACGGATCCAGGGGTTTGAAAGGCCCGTGGTGTTCCTGTTTAATCCATATACTGTCTGTAACCGAACCATCATAAGCTTCAATTTGTTCCCAGTACACATGAGTTGAGTTCTCAATCCTCAGTTTACCGTAACCAGCATTGCCTGGGAACCACTCGCGGAAGGCGGACCAGGGACCTGACGAAAGACGACGATTAACACTTGTAATCTATTCCAAGAATCTACGTAGAGACATTTCATTATGTTGCAGAGGGAAGATGAGCGAGGATTATGCGCTGAAATCTACAGTTTTCAAGTGGAACAATCTACGACGTAGCCCCTTAAGGCACCATGTTATTAAAAGATCAATTCATGTTATCTAGAAATATAAAAATGAGGAAAGCCTCGAGAAGCAAGCACTGGTGATCTGCAAAGAAAGGAATTCACCTTGCAACTTTTTTTTCATTCCACAGTCACGTTAACTCGGACAATTGTATAACATAGAGAAAGTTTTTTTTTGTTTTGATATTGAAGAAGGAGTAGACATCTTCTTAAGATTGATTCACGTTAAATGTGTCGATTGTAGTTAACACCGAATCTACAGTTGACCCATAATTCAAACTGAAATTAAGGCTGAGACTGGAGTCCAAAAATGAAATCGCAAACATATTTACAAAGTGTATAAAATTGGTTAAAAAACAAACAAACAATCAAAACAAGAATGGCGCCAGTTCTAATCTGTTTGAAAAACAGCACGTTGTCCTGCGAGTGGTTCAGCTGATCTGGAATCCATGACGAGACTTTGCTGGTCACAAATGAATGCCACCTATTAATATGAATTTACTCAGGACTTCCTCAATATCTTGCACTTTCCAACAAATCTTGAACAGAAATCACAGTACGATGCAGTTTTGAAGGTAAACGAATGCTAGCACCAGACCCCCACTGCACGGGATTAATTTGTCAATAAATGAAGGTGTGGTGACCAAGTGAACGGTAAGATTACCAAGGTACTTCCTCTGTCCAGCATTTCAAATGCAGACACCACCGATTCTTTTCTGGAATAAGTTATTCCACACTTATAAAAATCATTTCTCCAGAAACTCTACAGAGGTTGATAACCAGCCAGGCGCATGGTATCTTCAACAAAGGACGCTCTGTTACTCTTTTTTGGTAGAGCTTTAGCAGATCACGAAATGACGTTCCAGATACCTTCTGCTGAGTTTATTTCTTGAAAAAAAAAAACTAGAGGCGGAACTCAGCGAATAGTTGATTTCCTCGTCAAGAAAGATTAAATTATTTTTTGACCAAAGATGGACCTCCAACGTCAAAAATCTGCACAAGTGGATATTACGTCTCCATTTTCGTTGCTATACTGGCGTTTTGTTCTGAACGACCACCATTTTAAATGTACTAGTGGTCGTTCGAAGAACCACGAATGCAGAGGGGTTGCGGCTTATCGACGAAAGTTCTTGTCGAATGTAGAATATAGAGGTGGTAATTCTTCTCCGAAGTAAAGTTTTACAAGCAAGATAGTATGCGATAAAGTACTATTCTTTA